AAGTACACAGGAGGATTTAACAAGGCAACACACGGAGGTTGTTGATGTACTACAGCGTTTTTTTTCAACGTCTCTGAATTCGATATTTATACCACACTAAAACGTTTTAACTTTACACTGCATAATAACATCAGAGAACATACTGCTGTACCTGTAAATAATGGAAGATGGTGTAAAACTCTCCAAGATATTTTAAATTTGTTTTTAATGAAATAATACTAATTTTTATAGTTATAATATTATAATTATTTATAGTTTTATTCTACATTAAAACATACATTATATGTATACAAAAAAACATTCACTCAAGGTCACTTTATAAGAACAAAGAAAAATTAAAAAAAATTGTTATATAGCACGATTGACATAAAAAGGGAAAGAACAATATAGCTACAGAATGCAGTAAGGAGCAGAGAAAAAAAATCATATATTAACACGGCAGACTAAACCTAATAGAACAATAACACAATAAATCAGTGGATAAAGAAGGAAGTGGAAGATGTTTGTCTGAAGATGGATGAAATATATTTTGAAGATTTTACTTCAGGGAATTACAGTCTTGTTCTATATATTTTTAAATTAAATATTTGACTATAACACAATATGAAAAGTTTTACAGTCAGGTGCTCTTAAGGGCTGGTAGAACACAGGAGTCAGAGGTCATACTGGGCATTGGCATCTGGGTTATAAAGGTCAGGCTACGTTTTTCTTCAGTAAATCTATTAAGGAAAAATGGTTTGACTTAGCACGTATAAGACCACAAAACAACATTATAATTATTTTTGTAAAATAACATCATAAGTGTTATCCATCACAGTGGGCCTTACCCTGCATCACTGCTAACCTGGATCTTCTCAGAGGAAGATGTTGATAGAGCTGGAAGATGGGCTGGTTTCCTGTCAGGGAGTAAAGAAAAAAAAATATATATATATATATGTTTAATTGTAGAGTTGAAGTGGGCCACAAAAGCTATTTGGCACGGTGTTGTCTGTCACTACAGAAACAAGGACACTTTCACACAAGGATGAAACAATGCGTAAGCATTTGGGACCCTGAACTGCCTTAAGGAATTTGTGAAATGCAAAGAAATCCCGGCAAAAGACAATCTAAATCTGAATTCTGGATTCTTTGAGTGACCGCATGGCAGTGCTAAAAACAAATGTTGCAGTGTTGTTGTTGTTGTTTAATTTTATTTTATTTTACTTGGTATTGTCATTTCAAATGTCTTCCATACAGAACAACAATGCAATATTCAAATCCCTTTTTTACTCATTCGGATCCAGCGCACATTCCAATGGACATCGCTTTCATAACATTCAAAATAAATACTGAATTCTACTGAATTCCAATCTGTTTAAAAAAACAAAGATTTTGCATTAACTTATTTATTTGAATGAACGTAGATAATGTGTGTGTGTGTGTGTGTGTGTGTGTGTATGTGTGTTTATACTGTAGTCAACATTTGAAATGGATCAAAAAAGTTCAACAAATATGTCCTAAGACAAGAACGCATTTTGGTTTTTGGATAACTTTTATGAAAGGTTTTGATCCACTTCAAATGTTGACTAGTGTATATATAAATACAATTATTTACATTTACATTTAGTCATTTAGCAGATGCTTTTATCCAAAGCGACTTGCAAATGAGGACAATGGAAGCAAACAAAATCAACTATAAATCTATTTACCTTGTTTTATGCCCATTGAATTTAGCAAAAAGCAGATTGAGTAGTCTCTCTTTCTGCTCCCATGTTAGATCAGAAATATCCACACTGGAGCTTTTCAAGTTGCTCCTAAAATGACACCAGACCATTTTTATCATCATAGTCATCTTGATTAGTTATGCACATTAAGAGCAATTAGTAATTCTGCACTAAAAGCTCTCACACCATTTGTCAGCTTCTTCCAGGTCAGTCTGAACATCATTGGTGCTGTGCGGGGCATTAGAGAAGGTCCGTATACGAGGATACTCCAACCTTCCAGCCCGAGCCTCGTTCATTCTCCAGCGATAGGCCTTCAGAGCCTCCTGTCTACATACAAGATCATCTTCAAATATGTGAAGCACTCCTAAATGTGAAGCTGAATCTTCAAAATGCCCTATTAAAGGATATTTCACAGAGCAGTTTTCATAACTTGTGCAAACCTGTAGAGGTGTTGCTGTGTTTTTATTTCCTTCCTCACATGGTCAAGAGCTTCATGAAAGAAGAGTTCAAGTTCTTTGCGCTGCTCGATGATGCTTTGAGCCAGCCGTTTCACCTGGCCCAGCTCCTTCTCGCGGGCAGCTAGAAGCATTTCCAACCTCTCAAGGTCTGCGCTGTTGGCCTGCATACTGACCATGGCACGCCGCTCCACCTCTTCTCTCTCCTGCTCAAACTCCCCAGACATGATGCCCAGAGCTTGCTCAAGTGTGACCAATTTAGCCCTCAGCTCGGAAATCTCATTTTGTTGGGACCTCATCTGGGAATCACCTTCTTTTCTCATCAGTTCATTCGTCTCCTGCAGAATGAATCAGTTTGAGAGTCAGTCTACATCACTGGAGAGATGCAATGTGCTGAACACAATGGCAAACATGAGCATCTCTGAAAGCCAGCTTAGTTAACTCCATAAAGCCTACTGTATTATATTTGATGCACAAATTTAAGTTAAAAAGTGAGTATCAAATATGATACATCAGGCTTTTAGGGAATGTTTATCTGTACTTCTTTCAGTCATAATTCTATTTCATTATATGTTTTGCCTCCACAATAATAACCACAGAATCTAGGGCATTTAAAAATCATTTTACTAAGAAATATTATTGGGATATACAGAGTGACAACTGATATTTATATGCATTTTATGTAAGTAGTCTATAGTGTATTGTTAAAAATATCTCATTGATTGACATTACAAGCTATTAGAATTTCAAAATCATACTTTTTGTCCATAAATAACAATATCTTCACCCAATTGCATATTTTGTGCAAAACTGCTGTGTTCTTTCCCTTCTCGAGTGTGAATAAACTGTTCAATAAACTGTTCTATTTCTAAAAATTATATTTACCAGACAAATTTTTAAAATGTCAAGTTTTACAAGGTTAAATTGTACTTCGATTTCATTAAGCTTACGCTTTAATTAAATACTCTACAGAGAAACTGTCTCTTAAAATTCCTGAGTCTGTTAGTGGTAGCACCTTTAAGAGAGCAAGGGAAGCATTCTTCTCTTTCAAGGTTATATTTGTACTCTTCAGTTCCTCTGCCTCTTTCACATAATAATTCAGTGCCTCGTTCAATCGTACATTCTCCTTGAACACAGTATGTGACGCTGTACCGAGCTGCCTGTTGGGAGCAAAAACTGAAGATTTGACTCCAATAAACACAAATGATAGACATACAAAGGTCATATATACACATACAAAGGTCATATATGCAGTAATTAACCATAATGATGGGAATGAGATGAGTAATGGATTCAATAATAGAATTGAAAGAATAGCTGCTCACGCAATAGCTTCATGATGTGCTTGCTCTGCAAGCTGAGTGATCTTTTGCTCTGCTTCCTTCTCAAGATGAATCTATATAGAAGAAGATATCGTTGACAGTTCTCGCATGTATTTTAGTGGCACATATGGTCTAAACAAAGTATCTAAAAATCCGTAACAAATGGATTTTAAATGGTAAATGCACTTTCTGAAACATGTTTCTATGCATTATGTCTTTCTTATAAATGGATGCATAATATATTTCGCATCTGGGTTTTCTCACTCGTGCTGTGTAGAACTTGTACTCCTTTGTCGCCAGACTCTCTTGGTGTCCACGGTCAGCAATATACATTTTTTCTCTCATCTAGAAGCACAAGAAATACATTATATATAACATTTCTGCAGTTTTTATGCATCTACATTGCTTATTACATTAAATAGTTATTAGTAATGACTGTGCAGTACACTGATCAGGTCTTCTTCCAGATTGGCCTTTATTTTGCGAAAATGCTTAATGGTTTTGAGCTCGCCCTGCATCCTCTGGAAGTCGCTTGACCTCTGCTTAAACTTCTCTTCTAAAGCATCAATCTTCTGCATGTATTCAGCCACCTGCAACAGCCAGTCAGTTGAAACGAATGAGGGGTGAAATTCAAGTCTTGCATGATAACAGCTTCTTGAAATTCAGTTGTAACAGCTTGACACAATGCTAATTCATTTGGAAAATAACTCAAATTCAATAAGTGCTTACCAGAAGGTGTTTCTCTTGTAAAGCCTTCACTTTTTCTCTTTTTAGTTGCTCTTCTAATGCAGCAATCTTATAGGAGACAAATTAGTAGGAAATTAACAGCACAGGTGGATAAACTGAAATGTTTATGATAGAGATATCAAATGACAAAGGCAGACTAACCGTTGCTGTCTTTTCACGGTCTGTTCTCTTCAGAAAAGCAATAATATCGTTTGTGTCTTTCTCGGCTCTATATTGCTGGTTCGCGAGCTCCTCGTTGGCTTTGGAGAGCGCGCGAGTAGCTTCGCGATACTCGACACGCGAAATTTCCGTGATATTAAACTTCGCCTCCCATAAATCAGCGTTTGATTTGAACTTTTCGATATCTGACTCCTTGTCGGCTTTAGACTCATGCTTGCCTTCTTTCTTACCTTTTCTGTAAAGACGTGAAGTGTAAAGACAATTATAGAAAGCAAGTACTAAGGCTTACTGTATAAATCAAACCTAAAACTACATCTTTCATCCTTACCCTTTTCCCTTGCCCTTGTTTCCTTTCTTTTTCGGCATCTTTCGGCGCTTCAGACAACTCACTATCAGATGATTTTGGAGCTGCACGGGCTCATAGTTTCATTCTGTTTACATTCGTTACTATGGAAACGGTCACCGTCTGAGCCACTGCGTTGTTGAACAAACTGACGCAACATAAGAGAAATTATTTAAATAGCAAATAAAAGCTAGACATTTGCTTTTTTTATTTTTGTCCTTATCGATATTATTTCTTGCTGTAGCTTGGTGTAATTATAGGTAATCTCAAGATTTAATAACAATGGACACATTAGCTTTATCAAGTAGGCTATATTCTTTAAGAAAACCATTACAAACAAGATGACATTTCCTAAAATACAAATAACATAACAAAAAAGGTCCACACAACATAAATGCTAGTATGCCAAAACATATGAATGATAAAAAAAGAAAACTGTCTGCAACATATTGTAACCACTTGTAAGGCAGGTGTAGCTCAACTCTCACTGACCCAAATGAAGAGAAGAAAAATAAAATATTTGATATATCACATGATGACCTGTCAAACAAATGCAATGTAAATTTTCCAGCATTATCTTTCACAAGCATACAGGTTTGGTATACATCTTTATAGGCCTATTTACACAATGATATAGGTCTTTAAAAAAAACTCACATCATAAAAAAAAAGTTTTTAAAAATCTTCTTATGCCAGGCCTGAAATCACAGGTTTATGAGGTGACTTGAATAAGGCAGACATGTTTTCAGTATTTTTTTATTCGCTCAGTGTCTCTTTGGGAATAAAAGTATTGATGGTATATTGTCAGATATAGCTTCAAGGATGGCTTGTAACAGGCCAAACATTTCTTGCTGGCTCTCTCTGTGTCTCAGAAGTTCTAGTTCATCTCCATCTCCTGTGCAGCTGATGATTTTAGAGGAACAGAATCAAAGCCATCTGACGTTCTCTGTAAAATAACAACAGTTTGTCAAGAAAATGTCTGTATCTGCCTGTTAATGCTAATATTACTGTAACATTAAAAACATTTATAGCATCCATCAAGAATATAGCTTTAGAGTTTATAGTACGGCCAAACTGAAGTCTGTCTTCTGACCTCCTTACCTCTCTGGAAAATGACTTGATCTTAGTGAAGAAAGATTTCTTGGAGAGGTAGATGAGGTCATCCTCTGCATCTTCTCCCTCCATGATGGCACAGCTATCTGCAGCTGGAAGTTCACACTCCTTATCTCCTGCAGTCATCATTAGCTTTGAGTACTTATACTGCAGCCTAAAGAGAGGGTATGAATACTGTTATACATACAGCAGCCTTCATTTATCCCCAATTTATCTACAATTAGGCTTATAGAGATAAAAGAACACATTCACACCCATCTTTGTAGCAGTATGAAGTTGTATGTTGTTCTTTTGTCTTAATTTCATTCGCTCACAAAGTCAGTGTTGTACAGTACAGTTATCTACTATGAATTTACACTTAAATTCATGGAATTATGAGACTGAGCACTACACTATACTTTCGAGTAGAGCTGAATAGATCAAAATATGTAATCTATCAATCTAGATATATGATAAAGTCTTGGCCAAAATGCAATTCCAGATGCAATGGGCTAAAAACAAATATTTTAAAAAGTATTTTTGTTTGAAATAACCAAACTAATATATTTTTCCTTAAGTTGGCATTACTCGATTAACATCTATCAAATATATTTTATTTTATTTAACAATAATGTGGGAAAAATACTTTTCCAGCGATAATTCATCAATCTTTATTTACATTTTCATGAGATCAAATTAAACCTAGGTAATTTCACCTGTATGCTGCTTTGTTTTCCACCTCAACAAGTTTATTACTGGATATCAAAGAAAGTACAAAGTAAGTAAACCAGTTTTTGGTCCCATTTTTAAGTATCACTTTCAGTAATGAACGCTCACTTGCGTGTCCTTTTCCAGAAGTAGCAGCTGATGGTAATGAGCAATATAGCAGCCACAGTTCCGATGGAGACACCAAACTTCAGCCAGAAGTCCAGCGTCACACAGGCACTGACCTTCTGAGGAGGCAGTGACACCCCACCTGTGCACCTCAGAGGTTGTTGCCACACATAGGTAGTCCTCTGAGAAACAAAAAACATTTTAGCTACATTAAGTCATCTAATAAATGGTCAAATAAAAACATTCAGAGCGGGAAAATAGTCTCATTCACAAACTGTTTGGTCTATCATGATGTGAATTGACATGTACCTGAATTCCTTGGATACAAGCGCTCACAATCTCCTTATAGTTCCTCTCAGAGCAGAGAGGACAGGCATACTGGGAGCGCCACAGGAAATGGAAGGAGCAGCCATCACAGGTGCCCTCTGAACAGTTGCTATACCAAATGCACACACATAAAGAAAACAAGCAATAAACAGCAATATCCTTCCATCGTCTGAGTTGGAATACAGACATAAAACCAGTATTACATTTAGTCCCAAACCATACAATATTCACCGCACACACTTTCAAATCAGTGTCTTGATTGGTCTTGTTTTTTTTCTTGGAACAGCCCCAAAAGTAGAGCTGCACCATTTGGGTGTATATCTTCAGAAGACGAATTAAGATATTTTTGATTAAATCAAAGAGCTTTCTGACCCTGCATAGACAGCAATGCAACTACCATGTTCAAGGCCCAGAAAGGTAGTAAGGACATTATTAAAATAGTCCATGTGACGTCAGTGGTTCAACCTTGATGGTTCAACTAGTGGTTGAACCACTGATGTCACATGGATTATTTTAATAATGTCCTTACTACCTTTCTGGGCCTTGAACTCAGAATATTCTGAAAGAGACTGAAAAATATCTTAATTTGTCTTCCGAAGATGAAAGAAGGTCTTAAAGGGTTAGTTCACCCAAAAAAGACCTTTGTTCATCTTCGGAACACAAATGAAGATATTTTTGATTGAATCTGAGAGCTGTCTGACTCTGCATAAACTGCAACGCAACTGAAATGTTCCCAGACAGAAACGTAGCAAGGAGATCTCTAAAATAATCCATGTGACATCAGGGGTTCAACCGTAATTTTACGAATCTACGAGAATACTTTTTGTGTGCAAAAGAAAAAAAA